AATCATAGGAAATAATAGACCAGCTGCAATACGTTTGCTAAATGCAAAATGGCAATGGCGTTTTGCATTAAATTCTACTGTGCATGGCTTAAGTCAAAGTCAAAGTCAAGTCAAAGTCAACTTTATTGTCAATTCTGCCACATGTACAGGACATACAGAGAATAAAAACTACGTTACTCTCAATCCCTAGATAAAATAGCAAATGATGGTTATGTGGATAATGTGGTTGGCTCTCAGTGTGACAGTAAGGCATTGGTCTGATAAGCTGTCGCCCTGTCTGCTTCCAGTGTTTGGAGAGACTGCAGACGGAGCAGGCAACACAACCAAGGGTTAGTTGAAGTCAGTGCCTGTGTGTTTACAATGACAGAGACTTGTGTGCTCACTTCCTGGTATTTTATTTCTTCATCCCACAGGGCGATCAGCCTTGTGTGGGAACACCTGGAATCCCAGGAATGCCTGGATCACCGGGAACAAAAGGAGATCCAGTGAGTCAGAGTGTCTTCATGTGCATAATATCATTTTCTTATGTTTTTCTTTGCCGATCTGTTTTTGTTGTAGTATGTATATGCAAATTACTTTACAGAGATCTTTATTCTTCATGTTTACTTCAGGGTCCATCCGGAGAAAGAGGCCAAGCGGGAATGCCCGGAAACATGGTAAGAGTTTTAGCTACATTTCAGCTTTAGTTCAGCTTCATCAGAAGTTGATTTGCAGCAGGGTGAACCTACTGTGTTCTGGCTGGTTTTCTTTAATAAAAATCATAACACTAGGAAGCTGTAACAGTGGGCTCTTACTCTGGAATCTTAATCTTTCATATGTATGAGCCTGCATCTCCCATTTTAAGATACTAAGAAAAAGTTTTCCACTACTTTGATGACATCTTTCTCCAACTTACCACTCTGAAAAATCTGTTATCAACAGAAAAATGTTCAAAAACTATAAAGTGCATTTTAATCACTGCCTTACATTAGTTTGCCGGTACTTCTGTGAGTGGGAAAAAAAATAATTTTTTCCCCTTTTTTCTTGTTATGATTATTGTAGGACAGCACCGTTGGGTTTTTGTCTCAAAGCTTGCAATTGAAGTGACTTGGTGGAGGTTTATTCCTTCCACTTTCCATGAAATCACAGAGCCCCCTGCTGGCCCCAGTGAAAATGTTGCGCACTGGGTGCCATAACACTAAACTCTGAAAGGCTGACTCACACAAACCCACACTAGAGCTCTCTGTTGGCATGCCTGGTGCAGCATTCACCTAATTGTCAGGAACAAATTGAAACCAGCTTAAACAAAAGGGGTAAATTGTTTGTTTTTTTTCCTGTGTGTATTCTTGTTACTTTTATGTCTCAGGTGTTTTAAAGTGTTCCTTTCATTATTTTCTATCTGCAGGGACCTCCTGGATTTCCAGGTTCTCAGGGCCCACCTGGTTTACCTGTAAGTTTCATTTAAATTCTCAGACTTCAGTTATTTTCCCATTTTATTTAGCAAAGGCAAAATTTATCAGCCGCACACCCATGGTGAATCTTTGATTCCTCTACATCCCAAAGGGTCTTTATTGGATTGAGATGTGGTTGCTGTGAAGGCCATTTGAGCACAGAGGACTTGTCCTCATGTTTAAGAAACCAGTTTGAGATGATTTGAGCTTTGGGCGATGTAGCGTGTAGCATGCTGGTGCGGTGGTTAGCACTGTTGCTTCGAAGAACGAAGGTCCTGAGTTCAAATCCATCATCTGTGTGGCGTTTGTTCCCCTCTGTGTCTGTGTGGGTTCTCTCCCACGGTTTAAAGACATGCAGTTAGTGAGGCAGGTTAAGTGGCCATTCTAAATTGGACCTGGATGTGAATGGTTGTCTGTTTTTCTTTGTGAGCCCTGCAACAGACTGGTGACATGTCCTACCGTTCACCCTATGACAACTAAGATAGCCTCTAGCCCTCCTCTGCAACTCTGAATTGGATAAATGAAAGAAAATGGAGCATTATCCTGCTAGAAGGAGTCATCAGAAGATGGGAATACTGTGTGCTAAGGAAACATCTCCCACACCATTATGACACTTGCAGCAGACTCATCAGGCCATTTTTTTCCAATCATCTATTGTCCAATTTTGCTGAGCCCGTGCCTTGGCTAAAAGACGTGGCACCTGGTGTAGTCTTCTGCTTCAAGGTTTGACGTGATACTCTTCTGCATACTTTGGGTGTAATGAGTGGTTATTTGAGTGACTATTTCCTTTCTGTCATCTCTCAAAGCAATCTGGCATTTCTCTGACCTCTGGCATCGCCAAGGCATTTTC